ACTGCCATCTGGTGGTGTTGGTCTGGTTTTACTTCGTAAAAGAACTGTGAGGCTCCATAGATCAGATTCTGGCAGAGGCTGCTTTTAAAAACCCGAGTTAATGGACAGAGACCTGCTAATTGATCTCCTTCAGCCGTTCAGGGCTTTCTGCTGTGGCTTTGTGGCAGCTGTTTTAGCAGACAGGTGTTTAAACTTTTCCCATTAGATGGTGAGTTTCCTAACAATGGAAGCCAGCATTGTCACAGGCTGATATTAGCCTGATTCACAGCAGAAGCCTGATGTAGTTCTGAAATGAAACATAGCCTCTGGTTGGTAATATGGCTCAAGATGTGCTTGTCACACAAGCCTAGTAAGCTTGCTTGTCACCCAAGCCTGGTAAGCTGAGCTCCTTCCCCCCATGTGGAAAGAGCACATGTGTCTGTTCTCATACACCTCCCTCTCTCACACACACACAAATTAAAAATTAAAATAGTCTCAAGCATAATATTTCAAACTCATATTTAAATATTTTTAGAATTTTAATGTTTAGTCCTACATTTTAGCCAGAGAAGCCAGACCACTTTTGAATATCTTTGATTATTTCAAGGATATATTGAAAATTATTGTTTCTTCAATATATTGGTGATTTCAAGATGTGTTAAAGAGTGTAAACATTTAACGTTAATCTAAAAGCCTGGCATAAAAACAAGGTAAAGTTTTTTTTTTCTATGTTTTGTCTTTTTTGGGCAGAATGAAAGAGAATCTAAGGTTTTCAACTCTTCCAAGAACTCTTCTAGAACTTCTAGAACGATAATTGTGTGTATTCTCAGGATTTCTTAATACTGTGTTTATTTCTTAAGAAATATCAGGACTGTGAAGAAGTAAATTCTTTCTAATTCTAATCAAAGTAAATGTTATGTTTCTCATATGCTTTTCAGCTTCATTATTATTTGGGAGTTAAAATAGGTGTATATTTGCAATTGGCTTGGCCTTGCTGTTCACCTTAATTCAAAGCCAGCTACACCTGAAGTTTGGTCTTTTCATCTTCACACTCCTTAATCTCGCTTCCTTTTTTTTCCCCTTTGGTTTTTGTTCATATTATATTTTCTTCAATGAGCTTGTTTTTTGAAGAAGTTTTTAGAGACTGTGTGCAAATTGTTAACCAAAGTAGTTTTGGAATGGCCATGATTATGAATATTATATATCTACTTATGTAATAAGGAAAATTTTCTTTGAATGAAGCATGTTTAGTTGGTGAATGGAGGAAAATATATCTTAATTGGTTTTGTTACAGAATTCTTTTTCCTGGAGGAAGTGTTAGCATATTGAATTCAGATTATTCCCACGTGGCCAAAATATTTTACAGCAAGGCCATAGAGGTAAATATCTGCTATTGCTTATCACTGTATATGGGTTGTCTGTTTCCCTAAGGATCATTATCTTTCTTAAAGTGTATAGCATGACTTCCTTCACAGTTACTCCAGATTTTCCCCCCTTAACAGTCAGATACTTGCTATCCAGGAACCAAGTATCTGTTCCCATCTGTTAGTTCTGTCTTATGCAATTTGGGGGTTCTAGGTGTGAACCATACATACCTTGTAGCTCAGTAGAGCTGGTGCCTCTCTCTGGCCTCTTCTGTCATGTACTGGGTATCATGCCTATGCCAATAACTTTCCTCTTCTCAGCTGTTCCATCCAACTTCCCCTTCTTCACAGCCAGCTGTTGATGCCAGACACAGCTCTTGCTAGACAGGTTTTACTCTAAGCCAAGGACAAATGAAAGATAGGTGGTATAGAACAAAAAGAAGTTTAAAAAATGGTCTACCAAGTTGATGAAGACATCAGGTGACACACTAGAGTTGACAGGTCTGTTATGTGACTTTCAGGTGCTAGCTTACAAAATTTTTAGCTTTAGGGTTTGGGGAAACCAGATATTGGCTAAGTTCAGCAATATATTTCAAAGACTGTACCTAATAATAATAAACATGTCAAGTGAGACACAGAGGTTGGTAATAAATGGCTATTAAGACATATTAAAGATAGCTCAAGATAATTCTAGTTCTCAGTCTACAGCATGCTGTCATTTCACAGGCATGAAGGTCTAGTCAACCAGTCAGTCTAGACTCTTAAAGATATATGTGGCTTCATCAAGGAACTTCAAACTCATATCCCTTAGGCCCTGTCACTTACCATGCAGAGCCCCTAGCCACCATGCAATGCCTCGCCTTGGACTTACACTTCTGCCATGGCTGCTTAGATCTCTGTTTCTCCCCTGAAATATTGTCAGCAATTTTTTCATTTATTGTCGCTATCACTCAATTGGGTCAAGACATAATGTGCCCATGACTCCCCTTTTCCATCCTGCCTCAGAGGGTTCCTGAAGACAGGTTAAGTGGCAGACTACTTATGAATCTCAGAGAATTCTGCATAAATCTGTGTTGCAATAAAAAGCAATATATGTGTATTGCTTGGTACACACATACCTACACATAAGTATATATACACACATACTTTTGAATATGAAAATGTCATAAACTTTTATTTTGAATGCTAGCATAATATATTCATATATATGCACACACATATCCTCATTGTAACAGAGGAAGTATATCATCAATCAGAATAATATTTGTATTTGTTTGATAAACACTACACAATGTAGTATAAATCTGTCATTGTCTCATATAATACTCTACTTGGTAGTCAGGATTCTCTACAGCAGCAGAACTTATAGAATCTCTCTCTCATATATATATCTGTATCTATATATATCTATATATCTACATCTACATCTATATCTATATATCTATACCTATATATCACTTACAGGCTAAGGTAAACTAATCCAACAATGGTGGGCTATTAACTGAAAGTCCATGAATCCAGAAGTTGCTAAGTTGGTCTTCAGTAGACTTAGGAATTCAGAAGAAGTGGGCTCTAATCCCAGAAAAGGATTGGACTTTCTAGAAATACAAGAGCAATCAGGCAAAAATAAAATACAATAATACATATATTTAAAGTTTGAATCGACAGAGTTTTCTTTTTCATTTTCCCAAAGAGTTATGATGATGGCGACCATTTTCCTGTGTGGGGAACATGTCTTGGATTTGAGACGCTCTCCTTTCTGGTTAGCGGAGAGAACTTGCTAACGCTTACAGACACGGTATCAATTTCATTGCCCTTGAACTTCACTGAAGGTAAGAGCAAACACCAACTCTTCTAAAAATATTTCTCAACAGCATTAGGAAACACTAAATATCAAGTCAGAAATACTTATTAGTCTTTGATTATTGGAAGACCAAAACTATGAGTTAACATTTTGTTACTCATTTGTGAGTATGACAAGTTTGTATTTTGATAACGCATTGTTTCCAGTGGTCTCAGGATCATGTAATTAAGAATTCAGAAACCATCAGTCTCTCTTTGCCTCATATCTTTTCACTGTAAAAGTTTCTACTCTGCAGATTCTGAGAATTAATCAAAATGATTTCCAGTTTGTAGTGTAGTACTTTAAATACAAATCTTATAAATATCAGATACTATCGCTCGCTGTCTTGCCAGCATTTTCTCACTGTCTACACATGTTGTTTTTGTCTTGAATGTATTGTATTACCATTTTATTATGGCATTTAACACTTGGAATTAGCAGGACTTCACCAATGAAAGTACTTGGTGCCCAACAAGATGATCTTTGTATTTGTGTGCTTCTGAAAGACAAGACACTAGTCCACATACACTCTCTTGCTAGCTGCTGCAACTTCACAAAGCTCAAGAAAGTACTTGTATTTGCTTGCCATCTTGGAACTTCCATGAGTTTGGGTTTCTGTAATTCCAGAATTTTTATTGACATTTGCTTACAAAGCTGATTGGATCATTATTCATTTGGCTGAATCAGGCTCCCAAGCCTCTTCCATTTCCAGAGACTGCTTCAAAGTCCTCCAGTCACATGAGTAGGCTATCTGGTAATCAGCCCCATTCTGAGGTCATATAAGGGTTAACAATGAATCATCTCATTTACACAATATACTCTTGTCACCTGGGAAATTTTAGTGGTTTCAGACACTTTTAGTTAGAAATCTAAAACAAATTCCATAGAAATTCTGGATCATCATGATTAAGTGCTACCAACTATACTTATTAAAGATTTTGGGAGGGAAGGATAGTAGTTATTCATAAAATTCATAGAATGTCCTCTACATTCAAAAGTCTTGTTTTCATTATTTCAATAACTGCAAGAACATTATGGGAAGTATATGTTTTAGTTCAGGCTTTTGGGGTTGCAATGTAACAAAAGCACAGTTTATACAACAAAGCCATTATTCAAGGGGCTGGAGTTCTCAAATGAAGCCATTAGCCAGAATGACAGGCTCTGCTTAGTATCAGAGCCTTGATGTGTTTTCATTCCCTTGTTGGTTGGTATTCTGGACTGTGTGCCTGACTTTAGTCTCCCGAGCCTCTTCCATTCCCAGAGGTTGGGCTACTTCAAAGTCCTCTAGTCATATGATTAGTCCTTCTGGTATTCAGCTCCATTCTGTGGTGGTCTATATAGCAACACTGCTTCCTTTATCATTTGCAGAGCAGATTTTTTAAAAAAAAATTTTTGGCTAAGTTAATGCTGTTTTCTCCTTAGTTGGTATGCTTAAATTTCTTCAGCTGATTAAATTTATTCTTTGTCAGTTTCATACATGAATATAATGTATGTTTACTCCTACCCATGACTCCTGTCATCTTCCTTTTCTCCCTTACCTATAACTACCCTCCTCCCTACATGGGGTTTTCCCTCATTTATGTGTTTTTGTTTTTTTTTTTTTTTTTTGTTTTGTGACTCACTGATTTTAACCAGGTCTCTCTGTGACTGTGGGTTTTGAAAGGTGTCTTCTAACTTTTACACCTTTTCCTCCTCCCTCTACCATGCTCCTTGAGCTTTAGAGAAAGAGGTATGAATGTCCTGTTTAGGGTTGAGCATTTGAGCATCTCTTACTCTTGTGACTTTGATTAGCCATGAGTCTACATTCATTGCAAAGGAAACCTATCTATCTACGAGTGGAACTAGCATTTGCTTATGGTTATAAACACAAATATTTAGAATGGTGTTTGTCACCATGTTAGTTTAGCTAAACAGCAGTAATAAGTTCCCCTTGAGGGCCCTTGACCTTCCCAGCATCCATGTTAGGCATGTGATGGCCAGATCATAGGCACTTCTGTGGAAACACTGTTTTAATCGACATTTACTCATCTGGATTATATCTTAATAGTGGCTGTTATTTGGCTTCAAGTAAGTGACTTAATGGATTTGATTTTTCATGTATTTATAAGTGATTTGTCTATGTTTAAATTATTTTAGGTGCATGGGTTTTTATAGTCCTAGGCATATATTCTCTCCCATGAAGAAAGCCTTAAATCTCGACTGAGAGAAGTTGCTTTACACCCATAACAGTCGTGCCACTTATTGTACCAAGGGGCATATTTTGATTTCCAGGTTAGCATTATAGCTTTTAAGGTTCATAGCTGGGTGAGTCCATTGTTCCATTTTCTCCCTCAGCAACTCTCATGACACTTCCAGGTACTGTGCAAGCCATCCAGTAAGGAAGAATCTTCCACCCCAGTTCCAGCCTGATTTCTTTATATCTGGTATCCAAGGGGTATGATATCCTCACCAATAGGGTCCGATCTAGTTCTGGTGGGCAACCAAGAGGAGTGGCAAGAGCTCATATTGTTTTAGGAGTCTCATCAGCCTCCCTGACCGGCAAGTCATAAGGCTTCATCCCATACCTGGCACTGGGATTTGTAAGAACAGCATTTCCTAGTCGTGAAGAAGTTTTCTTTTTTAAAAATGCATGTATTTTAAAAGAATTTTATTTATCTCTCCTCACTCTGTGTGTGTGTGTGTGTGTGTGTGTGTGTGTGTGTGTGTGTGTGAGAGAGAGAGAGAGAGAGAGTGTGTGTGAGTGTGTGTGTGTGTGTGATGGAAGCCGGGGATTGAGCCTGAGTCCTATGTAACAGCAGCAAGTGCTCTCTACTGCTGAGCCATCTCTGCAGCCCTGTAACTTCAAGTTTTTAATTGGTTTACAAAGTAGTAGGTTCCTATGTGGCCCTGCATGCGCTTTTCTTTTAAGTCCCTGCATGTGCTTTTCTTTTAAGTCCCATATACCTTTGAGAATACATTGGAAATGCTAGATCCTTTTCTGGGAACACAAATATACACATATTTGGAAATTATTATTTTTCAGAGGTTTCTGAGGAGCCAGAGTTAAGATTCTAAGTTCTTCTATGGCTAGCCTATTTGTAGTTATTCATATTAAGAACTTAACAAAAGTAATTACATCTGGAGCATATCATCTTTTTATCCATGTTAGACATGCCTTGGCCTGACTGCAGGCACTTCTGTGGAAATGTGTTTTGCTCACCATTTACTCATCTTAATTATATCTTAAAAATGGCTGCTGTTTGCCCACAGGTAAGTGACTTAGTGGGTTTTATTTTATTTTTTTTAATGTGCTTAAGTTGTTTCTCTGTGCTTAAATTATTTTAGGTGCCTTACAGGGCCGAATGTTCCAGAGTTTTCCTGCTGAGTTATTGGTGTCACTAGCATTAGAACCTCTGACTGCAAATTTTCACAAATGGAGCCTCTCTGTGAAGGTATCACATGATTACACAGCAGTATTTCCTTTGTGAGAGGTCCGCGTTTAGGATAAGTATATAAGTGATCCCTCTGTCTCATTCTTGTGTTTTAGAACTTTACAGAAAACAAAAAGTTAAACAAGTTTTTCAATATATTAACAACAAATACAGATGGCATCACAGAGTTCATTTCATCCATGGAAGGTATGTGCACATCTAGATAGCATCTTCTCATTTTAATTCTATAGACGTTTTTTCTTGGGAGTGACTTCAGAGTTCAGAGACAGAAGTAGGGTTATTTTTGTCCACATCACAAATCAGTTGAGGCTTGCCTGAGTACGTTCTGGAACTGGGGTGACAATGAAGAAGAAAAGTGAGAATCAAGGGAGGGTGAGGATGAAGAACCAGATGGAGAAAATCATTCTGTTTCTAGAGTTATCACCGATTATGTGCTTTGACAAGGTTTTCAGACAATTATGACAGATGGTTTGATAGCGGAAAGCATTTTTCTAAATACATTAACTAGGTGGCAAGAAAATAAACAAGTTAAAGCCTGAAATTCCGAGAATATCAAGAGCAACACTGTTGATGGTCCAGACCAGAGACAAAGATCATATGTGGACAGGACACCACGGTTGCCAAGCACGGCTAAGCTCAAAAGGCTAGTGGAATCCTGACCATGGGATTTCAAGGACAATTGCTTGCTAAAGACATAGGGTGAGGATGATGGGGTTAGTGCGCCTAGAGTACTCACAGTGACAGTTTTGTTTAGTGTTGCCTGCATTATATAGCTGGGAATATGTACAGACAGCAGGTTGAAATGTTCACTTATAGGTGTCTTCTGAGCACATATGTACAATTCAGGAACAAATCAAAATACTTGTCTTGGAGAGAGCAAGGATCATTCATTCCATGGTTCAGGAAATTTCTCCGGATGAAGTTTGATGGAACATGAATGGTTCATGCCCCAGATCACTAACACACAGGCAAGCAGAGTACCTATAACAAGATAGCCAGCCCTGCACAGACAGGCTGTAAAAACTCTGACATTCGTTAGAATACCTAAGTCTTAAAGAAGTAAGGAACATTTGAAAATTTATGGCTGGCTGTGGTGGCTCATGCCTTTAATCCTGGCACTTGGGAGGCAAAGGCCAGCCTGGTCTATAGATTGAGTTCTAAGACAGCTAGGGCTACACAGAGAGACCCTGTCTTGGGAAGTGGGAAAAGCATAAAAGAAACTTGAAAAGAACTAAATTCAGTTATTAAAAATGAAAGAAGTTCAAATGAGGTCTCCAAAGAGGTCAGTCCTAAAACACACAAAGAAAATGAATTAGCCCGGAAGGAAGATCTAAAGGAAACATTCAGAAGCCATCTTCAATGGCTGTGACATGTGGTAGCACAGAGGTGGGAAGCTGGCCAGAGGTTGGAGGTGAAGCATTCCAACAACAGACTGGGTTCTGGGAATTAAGGAAGAAGAGGGGTAGAGACTGTTTTTTTTTAATGTTAAAAGGGATTCAGGTGGATAAAGTGGAGAGGTAAGTTAAAGAAAAGCTTTAGAGAAATAAAGGAGAGAATATCTATGATCTTGTGTGATAGAAGGAATTTTCAAGACAAGAAGAAATATATGCCATAAATGAAAAGAAGGAGCAAGTCCACTACATTAAAAAGTTATATTAAAGAGAGAGAGAGGAGAGAAAAATACATTTATAATTCATATAGCCGCCATAGGGTCTATGTTTATCTTCTAAGAAATAAATTCATTAATGAATTTAAATAATAGTTTCTTATACATAGCTAAAATCCCTGAATAGATGCCTTGGAGAATGAACTTCAATGTGTTGTCTACACAAAGCTGGGTGAGGGAAGTCCTCAATGTAATGCCTAAGAAGTAGAATACTAGTGGAAGCACAAGACAGAAATCACCTTAACTCAGGACTGCAAGTGCCAGCCAGGGTGCTGTACTGGGCATGCTTGTGTAGTTAAGGTTACAGTGAGAATGCCTGCAGCACTTTGATTTGTCTTAGTAAAGCTGAACATTTTCCAGTCTGTTACCCAGCAGTTCTCTTCCAGTATTTAACAGTGCCTTAACAAAGCTGGGTGTGATGGCACATGCCCCTAATCTTAACGCTTGGGAGGCTGAGGCAGGAAGATTGGTAGATCAGGCCAGCGAGGCCAGGGCTACATAAGACTGTCTCAAAAACAAAAACCAAAATAAAACAAAAACAATACTAACAAAACTACCGTAATGAAACCCTTTCATGTACATAGAAATGTGCATATAATTGTTCCTATTAGCAAAAAGGGAGGCTGCTGTTAGAAGCAATCCAAATGCCCCATAGACTAGAATACTATGCAGTTATTCAAATCACTGCAGATCCCTGTGTTCCTCATTCTGAATGGACTCTGAAAACAATTTTGAGTTAATAAAAAGTACAACAAAATATATATTTTTGTTTGCTTTTTGAAACACTCTCCCTCTGTGGTGCAGGCTTGCTAGGAACTCACTGTCCCAGGATGTCCTCCAGCCTGCAGCAGTCTTCCCTGTTTCACATGTGTGATCACAGAGCCCTATGATCACAGGTGTGTGTCACCAAGCTTCCTCCTATATAGTTATATAGTTTTTATTTCTATGATTTTTCAAAACATGATGCGAAGACAGCTGTATAACTCTTGATGGTAACTTGAAAAGATTAAGGAGAAGGACAATTATTAAAGTAGCTATTGCACCAAAGGGGGGGATTTGGAAGTGTTGGTAACACTTGGTAATTTAGTGTGTGTGATGGCGAATCAGGAAACTTAGGGTTTTTACAGTTATCCCAAGAGATGTCATTTTACAGACTTTTACTCTGTCTCTAAGAATGTGTGATGACTGGAAGGCTGGAAACTTAAATGGGACCATCTAGGAGTAAAGGCTGATGGGGTATTTGGAGGAGCTAGAAACAGGATAGGGACCCAGAGACAGAAGACACGCTCTCTGCTTCTGTGGCAGGTCTTCTCTTTGATTTTGTGAGGGTGGAGGGAGCAGCCTGAGAGGACAGAGTCCTAGAGAGGAGTGAACCACAATAAGGTGGGGGCAGTGATTTGATACTCAGAGCATCACTGAGCATCATATGGCAAATCCGGAAGGGATGCTAAGTCAGTTTTCTTTCTTAGAGAGTCGCTGGTGTTGTTGCAGCCTCACTTGTCTAACCACTTCTAATCCCGATTCCTACAGGTTCCACATCTATATGCCATTAGCCAGATTTAGGAATTAACTTGCCAGCATTCAAATCTGGGGACACTCCTAAACCACAGCAAATCAGTCAAATCGAGAGGTGGGGAGAAATACCCATGCAGGAAATTCTGAGAAATATTGGTCAGCTCAGGGGGAAGTGAGGTTGTTATCTTCCACCCAGTTGCTGGTATCACCACCTCCCAAATATCCTGCAGTAGAAGTCTCCAATCCACATTAGCTTCCCTGTCTTATCATCTACTTCTTAAAACTTTAAGCTGATGTCTACTTCCCAAATCTATCTTGTATATGCTTTCTCCTCTCTACCCAGCCCCCTCCTAACTGCCCATACAGTTATCTTCCATGGAATCTGAGAAACCAATCTGATTGTGGTACCTAAAAGGCACTCAGTGGCTCTTCGCTATTGAAGGACATGTCTAGATTTATCTGGTCATGTAATCCAGGCTCTCTGCTGCTTTCCCTGCAGACTGTGTTCCTTTGAGATTTGTGCAG